ATCAAATTTATTTGAAAAAAAAAATTCGTTTTGTACATTCTAGCTTCCTATGATCTACTTTTCACCTTATCCTTGAATCCTGTTTAACTGACCGCTGCTTCAGAGTGGCGGTGTCTTACAAGGGAGAATTTTTTGGTCCCACCCAACCTGCCATTTATATTATTGATTTCCCACTACATTCATCAATACCACATTCAGATGATACATCCGTATTCCTCCACTGAATAATAAGAAGAGGAGATACTGATTTTCATTCCAGTCAGATAGTTAGGATTATGCCTAGCCCGGAGCCTGAGGTGGAATCCCCACACCAGAGATAACATAACATAAGATTGGATATGCGCAAACACATTTAGGGCTGAAATTTGTTTTGCCGGTCAAAACTCAACTAACTCTATACAAGACATTACTGCAACCATTTTGGGCATATGAGGAGTAACTGGGGGGGGGGGTAATTCAGCGTTGGTTGGTTTTACATAAATGTATCCTCTAAGTGCAGTGTATGCCATGGTGTCAGTGTTGTGATCGATAGTAAGCAAAACATTTACATACATATCATACATATTTGTACTAAATAACCTATTTATATACCTATATTTTATAAACCTACTTAAATACCTATGTACATTTAATATACAGCTAAGGTGATATCCATGATAAAAGGAGAGATTTTTATACCAGCAACCTACAACATAAATATTTAGCTACATTACAAAGGGCTGAGTGGTTAAACGGTTTGACTCGTATTGCATTTGCTACGCTAGCGGTTGCGGGTTCGACTTCCGACATAGTCCTTGAAATTTTTATTTGTGATAATATGTCAAAAATATTGTAATTTGGTTCTTTAAATAATCAGTAATTAAGAGTCAGTAATTATAACAAATTTTAGTTTTGGTTTAACCCCACTTTTGCACTGTATGTCACTACTTTACTTAACTTCAATTTTTAGATTTGCTCCTATTCAGAAATATAATGGGTCTTGCGGGAATGGCAATGCACGAGCTGTATTTTTACCTCAAAAAGGTAAGGGAACAATCAGTATAAACACTGTAGGAGAACACCAATATAAATTTTTTTTATATATACATAAATTTTTATATTGGTGTTCTCCTACAGTGTTTATACTGATTGTTCCTTTACCTTTTTGAGGTAAAAATTGTATATTTAAAAAAAAGAAAAAAAATACAATCTCTTTGAGCACCGGTGTACAGTGAAAAGAGCAAATCTTTGCATCTTTACTCAAGGCAGAATTAATAAATAGCAAACCAAATGACTGTTTTTCACATTTTTTGCGATAACATTGTCATTTTTTGAACAATTTAAAATCCGATTGCACCGTTTTTTTTTTCATCGTAAAACGTTCATCCTAAAATTATGTGTCAGGATGGACAGGAATGTATTTGAAATTTTGAAGTTAAACTGGGCCTGAGGTTCGCTGTATAATTTTTCTCCAAAAAAAGGTAAACATTTAAAACTAGACCTTTTTTCTTTAGTATCATTGGTTCAAGAGAAATTCAGCCGAGTCATCTAAAAACGACTCCCTGTATGTATTCGTTAATGGTAGCTCTCATGTAACTCCGTTAGAGAAAAGAAATGTTTTATTTTCTAGATGCTTTATATAAAAGTCGTATAACAAGGCTTTTATCGTGTGAGGCTGTAATTCCTTGTCGAATACAATAAAAAGTACAACTTTCGAAAAGAAATAATCTTTCTGGTAAAACCTTTTACGCTTAAAAACTTTTCATTTTAATACTTTTATATCAAGTTTAATAATTATAACGGGAAGCTTGATATGGTCACTAGGACATCATGTATGATTTTATTCTAGTACAAAACAAACAGCTCTTTTGCAAGAAAATTCCAGAATGTTAGTAATTTTTTAAATACAGGCTTTTACCAAAACAGTTTCATTGATGATAGGCCCCAGTGCCCCAATGTTATTGCAAATGTTTGCCCCAAGAATTTATAAAACGAATTATAACGGACAATTAATCTCAAATATGGATGTGATTTCTCGATGAAAAGGTTCGTTACCAGAGCTGAAACTGTAACTCGTGACGCAGTACAAGGAGTGATCATTAAAATAGCGTCTATTGTACCCATTCGGTTGTATTTTATAATAAAAAGTGACTAGAATGAGATCGGATTTTTAACGTTTTTTAATATCACCGTGAATGTAAGAATTGATAATATTGTTATGTTTGGCGGGGTGTATTGAGGTAATTGGATTTGGTGAAAAATATTTCTGAACTTAAGCGATATTAGGGAATGTGAGAGGGTTTCGTCAATGATGATAACAAGCCAGTTTAATTTTACTTCACATCCCACAAATTAATTTTCTGTAATGTTTTCCCTTTTAAAAATTGTTAAGAGAAAAGAAGAAGTATTTTTCTCAATAAAAGTTCTTCACAACCCTCTGAAAGCGTGTGTGGGAAGAGAGCGATTTGTGAAGAAATAATTGGGCAAGGAAAATGGCAAACGGATTCGCCGGATTCAAAAGCCATCCAATAGATATTTTTGCGAAAGATTCCACGAATGGCCTCTTTTCTGAGTAGTACATTTATTCGTTTGACGTCATAAAATACATTTTACTTTTGTCGGACAAATAACTGACACATTCTAGCTACAATAAAAACAATGTTGGATAATTCGAAGGATTAGTATTTATCACAACATTTTAAACTTTAGTTATTCAGATATCGTGAGATGCGGTCGGGTGTGATGTAGGTTTCAGAAAAACATTTTCTTTATCTTTATATTTTGCATTTTATAAATTCACTTTTCCACAGCCTAAATGTATTTGTTAAATGTAAACATTGTTTGTAAATCCCAGGCTCTGAAGATGATCTCAATAAAAGATCGAAACGTTGGCACGATAAAAAAAATGTTTTTCTGAAACCTACATCACACCCGACCGCATCTCACGATATTTGAATAACTATCGATTAACGGTCTCTAATCTCTACACATTTTAAACTTTTCTTATATTTCAACGTTTTGACTTATTGATTAAGAGAAGTAATTTTTAGTTTTTACAACGAGTACTTTTCACCCTTGTATGAAGGGTCAGAAAAGACCAACGGCAAAGGGAATCGAACCCACTACGTGATAAACCGAGAACCGATGTTAATAACGCGCCCAACTCGGCCACAGCTGCCCTCCTTTAAAAATTTGTAGCACGAATCAAGTAAATTGGATTTGTTAGCATAACGATGTTCCCTGTTCATTATGTTCTATATCGCGAAACGTAAAAATTGTGTAGAAGAAAACCACTGCCGAACTTCAATTTTATACACGCACGATAAATCTGTCAAATGTCATCTTTAGCTTATTTGATTCCTGATATGGTATTTTAGTTTGTTCTTGTTTGAAAACGTTTTGTTTTTTATTAATCAGATTTTCACATGTTTTTTCATAAAATGTCAAAGTGATCCCCTTTTCGTTTAACATTCATCTTTAACGATTTCCATGAAACACCACTCAATCATTTTCACGTCAAAAATTTTGCCAACAGTCCCTACCTTGGTATCATATCATATTTGAAATATATATTATATCAAAAATATATTGTCTACTTTACATGAATGCATTCAAGAAAGTCACTAGTTTCGTGGTCCGATTGACCAATGAATATCTTTTAATTAATTAAAATTTTTAGTTGAGATAAAAAAGTCAGTGTCACGAGCGGGATCCCGAATCAAATAGATTTCACGACATTTGAAAAATGGCGAAAAGGAGGGAAAATTCAAAATGTGGGGTTGAGATGGGAAGTTCGTTTCCGAGTGGATCGATGTCACGATAGCTCAAGTGGTAGAGCAGCGGCCTAATCGTGGGTTCGAATCCCGCTCGTGAAATGACATTTTTATCTCAACTAAAAACCTGACTCAATAGAAAGGTATTCAACAAATGCTTTTAGGAATTTTGGTTCACGACCTTTTATCGTTTTACTATCTCTTTTGCCAGTCTAGATTTTATTTTGGTGAATCCTGGCTAAGGTTTCTACTATATTTCTTATATAAGATGGAGGAAAGCTTCTTTCATGCATTTGCCTGATAACTATTTCTAAGACTTTTTGGACAGAGAATACGCATTGTTGAATAAAACCTACGCATACCATTTTTAATTGGTGGATAAATATTTATAACCTATGAACTCATAAAAACATAAAATTTCGAAAAATGTTTCTGCAATGACAGCGCGCACATTTCATCGTGTACTGTTTTAAAATTTATTGTAATTGTAAAGCAAAGACATTTCAGTCGTATGGAAGAGCTTAACATCAAATCTTCAAAACGTGGACGAGAGTTGAACAATTTAATACTACAAAATGAAACATTTGTACTTCTTGTTCTTCATCAATGAGTACAAACAAGCTTTGCATGTCTGAAAATGATTTTTAAAGGATGTCTTTTCATTTGTACAAATCCATGCCCAAAACCCATTATAAATTGAAGAACTATCGAAGGCAATACTAATTTTTAATAATACTAAATTTTTACTGTTTTCTCTCTTTCTTATGCGGTACTTTAAATCAATGATATTTTATTTCACTCCTGGGTGTTGATAAAACCAATATTTTTTTAATGGATCAGTAAGTTCATGCAAACAAACGGACTTAGTTTATTTATACACGCGTATTAAAAGAGATTTGGATAACTGTAATCCGTGTAGTCAGGACACTGTAATTTTCGATAATCTCTGATGAAATTTCTTTTTTCAGGTTTGTCGTGTGAGCGAAAAGTTAACAATCCATTGCTTAAATCAACAGCTAATAAATGATAACGTGGTAGCATTTTTAGCAACATTTTAAGACTGTTTAAGGTTGTGGAATACACAACCTAGAAGCATGGTACCTACTGACGTCTATTTGACTGATATGTAAATATCTTTCTTGCTCTTTTGTATTATCTTTTCAAATAAATCAAGTGTAGAACATTACTTGAGCACTATGCAAAAAATTATCGTTCGTATTTGTTCAATTAGAAAGTTTAAAAACTTACCTCGAAAGGGATGGCAAAGAGGCCGATGGCGATATCAGCAAGTGCGAGATTTGCGATGTAGTAGTTGGTGACATTTCTCATCCTCCTGCTTGTAACTATGACCCAGATGACCAGGCCATTGCCGACGACTGCAGCAACGGATATGGAACCGTAGCAGAAAGAAAGAAACACGATTAAGGACACAGGCACGTCGTACAGCAGCTCCTCATCCAGGGGGAGAGTCTCGTTCGAGATGTTCATTTTTTCCCATCACACCTCCACCTCGGGAGATAACAGGACGCTTATCTCTCTCTCGACCCTCACCTAAACCAGATTAAACGTTTGTTTTTTATCTGTTGATAATAAACTTGGCCATTAAGATCAAAATTCAAAAGGGACTAAAACTGAACTTCATTTTTTATATTTAAATTTTTTTTTAGTATAAATGAAACCAATTCAAGAAAAAAAAATGTTTATCTGCACTGAAACTTGTTTAACGTTGCTCTCTTTCTATAAAAGAAAATATTTATTTTTTTGTAGAAATGTCTTTACCTTATTGAAAAACAAATGTAATTTGCAAGTAATTAGTCATTTTATTTTCATTAACGTAATTAAAAAATTCATTTGTACAATTTTTTAATAAACTGCTCAAAAATCAATCGGGATATTTGTAATTTACTCTTATTCTATTAATTTTAATTAAATTAACGATATAATTTTGTTTGTTGGATAAAACAAAACAGAAAATACAAGCCAAAAACAAACAAATGTTAATCATAATTTTCAATTACGGATTTATTTAAGAATATTAAAAATGAAGATAACTCATTTTGTAAACAAACAACTTTTCTCGTCTTTTATCCTTTTTAGTCCAGTTGTATTCTCTTTAAGCATGGTAAGACATCATCTTAGATCAGAAATTCGCAATATTATTGTGAGAATGAACCATCGAGGTCACTGGCAAATGGATATCGCAGAGGCAGGTTTTCGGTCTCAGAGCGTGGTCTCCCGGGCTTAGACCCGATTCTGAGAGACTAGAATTGCCTATTGGAGGCCTGGTAGTCGATCATTACGACGCTAAGGAAGGTCATTAATACCCTATCTATAGTCCCCGCCAGATCCTAAATGAAGTCAAGATGTTTTGGCAAGGCCTTTGTCGATTACGATTAAGAATCGTTTGTGGGAAGTTGGCCTCACATCGTATGCCCCCTTGGAGATGACGTGCAGGAACATCCCGCCATCAGAAACTCAGAAGAATATGGTGCAGCGAGCGGCTAGAAGAGAACAATTGGAAAGGTGTTATGTTTACTGATGAGTCGCGTTTCTAACTGTATAGTGATAGCAGGAGCCGAGACCGGGGGATGTGCACAATTCCCCAATTGGTGCTCTATTCAGTGCGGTGCAATGGCCTAGGCTGGGATTTACACTGCAGGACGAACTGGACTCCGTATTGCGGAAGGCAACCTCACCGCAGTCCGTTATATTCAATAAGTTATCGAGGAATACTTCCCTCAAACCTGGAATCTCACTGGCAGGGATTTTCCATTTTTAGGTGACAATGCCAGACCTCATAGAGGCGGAGTTGTTCATCAATGTTTCAAAACCTGGAAATTTCCCATTTGCCACTTCCCCCATTGTCTCCAGACGACAATTTCTTTGAACACATGTGGGATGTGTTGCAGAGAAGGCTGTTCACTCACAATCCGCAGCCAGTTGACCTGAAACAACTGACTGCAGTGCTACAGCATCTATGACGTGAAATCCCTTATAACATGACTACGTTATGCCTATCAGGTGCACACCTTTAATAATATAATTAATTATTTAAAATTATTTAAAATAATTTAAAAATTATAATTATTTAATAAATTATTTAAAAAATTTAATAATTATTAACAATTAATATAATATATTAATTATTTAAATAATTATTAAAAAAATTATTGTGTCCAGTAAACAAAATTATCGAATTAAAACCTTTTATTTTGTTATTTTTCAAAATCCCTTAATTAATTTCTGTTCAGCAAAAAACGTAATAATTTTGATTACATTTTAAATCATTTTTAATAATAATGCTAGCGAAAGTAAATACTGCAAAATTGCTAACATCCATATTAATTTTTGAGCAGACTATATTTTTGGCGTCCATTAAAATGAAAAGAAATATTACCCTTCTAATTAGCGCAGTCCAACCAATTTTTCCGCCTATTACCTTTCACGATCTAACAAAAGTGTGTAGTGCTTAATCGGACTGTACATAAGAAGTTTTCCCTTTCAGCGCTGCTTAACGCTTAATTAAGTTGATCAACACAACCTTTGCAGAAAATTAATGAAATATCTTCTTATCTCAGCTGTTTCAACCTTATGTAACAAAGAGAGGAAAATAAGAGAAAGACCGGAGGTAGAGGAAGAGGTAAAGAACGTGAGTGAGTGAGTGAGAGAGAGAGAGAGAGAGAGAGAGAGAGAGAGAGAGAGAGAGAGAAAGAGGGAGAGAGAGAGAGAGTGCGAGACAGAGGAGTATAAAAAATATCCGGCATCAGGGACCAGGTCGTAGATTAAAGGAATCTCCTTTTTGTTTTACCAGGAAAGAGAATTTATGATATTTCATCATTTAGGAAAAAGGCAATGCAAAAATAAAATTATTATATTAAAGTTACATAGAAGCTAAGAGAATTCTTATTACAAAAGATAAGAAAACGTGCATAATGCAGGATCGTATTAAATAAGATTTGATATATATGAAAAAAATACGGAAAGAAACATACAGTAAAATAGGTCCCCCGTTTATGGAAGAATGTAAGAAGAATCACATTCTTTCAGAACACGGGAAGGTGGAGGTGGCTGCGGTAACGATGAGGTAATGAAATATCTTATAAATTAAAAAACTGGTTGTTTGAGTTCCATAAAATCACACACCATCTACAATACTGCAAGAACAACTTTTAACGAAAAATTCTAAAATTCTCATAATTTACTGAAGAAAATGAACACAAAATATTAATTTATTAAGCTTTCTTGTCTCTGAACACAAAATAGATACTGTCCAACAAAAAAATAAAAATAAAAATAAAATAAAATAAAACCCTCTCAGATCACATACGCTATTTGAAATGAACCTTTACCCTTAATTAATTAAGGTTTTAAGTTGAGATAAAAAAGTCAGTGTCGCGAGCGGGATTCGAACTCTCGACCTTCGACTTGATACGCCGCTACTCTACCACTTGAGCCATCGTGACTTCGATCCCCTCGGGCACTAACATCCCATCTGAACCCCACCTTTTGAATTTTTCATCCTTTTTGCCATTTTTCAAATGTCGTGAAATCGGATTGGATTCTCGGCGACAAATAAAATGGCCACTGAAAGCTTCAGTGAAGTGTACTTTACCCTTAACTTCTCCTCCAAAATCTATGACTCCAAATGAAATCGAAAATTTCAATAAAAACAACCGATGTATAATTAATAAATACATAATTATTTTAATAAAAGTACATAATGTGCAAAATGATAAACAATTATACAATACGGGTTAAGGCCTTTTCCATGTAAATGGTGAACTGTCAAAATTTTTTTGTCAGGTCATATTACAATTTTTCATAGGTATCCAAATATTAATTATTTTTGAATAGATTCGAGATTCTGCATAAATATTTCTTATTTGCTACATTGTAAATTTCTAGTTTTTTGTAACTTTTGTTTTTAAAATGACAATAAACTAAGAAAATCACAAAAAAATGTTATTTTTACACTGTTCTGCGAATTAATTTAAAGAAATACTCAGTTACTTTGAGGGGGGGCATTCATCAGTACAGTGAAACAATAGTTGCTATTTTAAAAACCTTATCAATTATAAATTCTATTCACAAATATAAACCAATGGGTTAAACAAGTACAATAATAAAGTAAATTTACATAAAAACAAAACAGCTAAACTTGTACTTTGTAAAATCGTACGATTGTAAGTTTACCTTCTAAGGTATACTTCTAAAGATCAAATGCCCTTTTCGACTAGAATGACCTGAGAAGTTTTTCCACTTTTTCTTAGGAACCAATAGACGTAAAAATCAATTTTCCGTTTAAAACGGGCTTTTTGGGAAATTCACCCGTGTTGAACCACATGGTTTTTCCGACGGAACAAAGTTTTCGTAAGAGCACACGGATCAAGTTGAACGGCTCGACTAACCTTTCAGAACGAAGACGAATTTAGAAAGTGCTAATTTTCCCCTACCTCCTCTTTTGTTTTGCTTCTTTGTTCTAATTGAGAGAGTGGCTAATCACTTTACAAGCTCTCAAAATTTATACATTTTCTAAATAATTTCTCTTTTTTTCAAGTTTTAAAACAAAAAATATAAACAATTTTCTTTGAAAGAAAGTATGATGTATGGACTGTTTATGTATCTATCTTTCTAGGAATAGAAGAGCTCAGGATTGACGAGTCACTCTCACTCTGCGTGGATTTGAAGAACCCGCGACCTAAAATATTAACGCATCTGTTTAACCGTGAAACGTGAAGTTGTATAGTTGTAGGCGGAATAAATAAAGGAATGACTTGAGCATAAAGAATCTCAAGAAAAAACCCTGGTAAATCACACTACACTGAAAATAGACTAACTCAGAAATAGCCTATAGTCGGTTATTGACAGGAAAAAATTTTGTTTCAAGGCTCAATCTATTTGAACAGAAGAATGTTTTGTTCGGCATGTAACAAAATATTGGTCGAGCTTTACTGCAATATTACACATAAAACCATAGTTTCTGCTCAGCAAATTAAAAAACACTCGTATTTTATAGGGTTGTAATTTTTTTGCGAAATTGTATATTTGTTTCAATAAATATATTTTACATTAAACTTCTAATTCTGAAAAATGAACTGAAAAGCTAACTAATATTATATGTGTTATGCTATTAATTTACGTTTAATGTGTTCAATAAATTTTTCTTCTGTGGTCTAGTAAATATTAATTTTCAAAGGAAATATAACATAAAAATCTTTCAACAAAAATCATAAAATTTAAATTGTCATTCGGTTCATGATCTGAATTAAAGTTGGTAATGTTATACTTCGTTTTAATTATTAAATCGATTATATTTCGTGGTCCGATTGTCCAAATAACTTCTTTCAATTAATTAATTCACGTAAGGCATTGGTTGAAATGGAAAGTCATTGACACGAGCGGGATTCGAACTCACGACCTTCGGCTTGGTTTCCGAGTGGATCGAAGTCACGATAGCTCAAGTGGTTGAGCAGCAGTATTTAGATGAAAGTCGTGGGTTCGAATCTCGCCTGACATAAATTTTTCATTTCGGAAAAACCAACATGCTATTTTATAAGATGTCGAAGTTTCCATTTTTGGTATTTTTTTATCAAAGGAAACAGGAGTGAGACAGACTAGTTTTGTCATTCAAGTTTGGCCACTTATCCGTAATAAATAATGTTTTAGGAAAGCTAACAAACAACACCTACACGATTTGTAAGTAGGGACATAAAATAAGATGCCGAATTTTTCAAGGGTGTGTGCGATGCGCTTATGCGCCAGTGTGTTAACGTCTTTATTCCTGGAATGTTCACTGATATCCGGGTCCAATTTTATAATACTATTTTTTCCCGACTCTCATGTTTTTATTAGTTTAATTTATTTTAACTTTCTAAAGTAATCAAAATGTTTGAAATTCCCAATATTCTTCAAATATACAGAAATGTCAAAATAAAATTTGCCTAGGAATATGCAATTGTATTATATATATATAAGCTGTATTATATATATNTACATAGCTCTAATTACAGCATACACAGACAAAATATGGTTTAATAAATTATTCGTTACAAATTGTGTGGGCCAGGAAGCAAAGTAAAATTGTGGTATTATAAATTTAGCGATAATTCTGCAGCAAATTTTATGTTTACAAAGCCGAACTTTTGTTAAAAATTAATAATAGTGGTTATTATTGGTATCAACACATTTGGTAAAAAATACATTTATTATTATCATTATTTCAAAGAACTGATAAGTAAAATGTGATTAAAGAAGTGAATGGAAATAAATAAGGAAAGGGCGTTTTAAATATAAACAGTATTTAAAAATTAACGCAAAAAGAAAAGTACTTGACTTAGAAATTTAAACGGTCATAAAAAGAATTTGAAATTGACCATGAAACTCATTATTCCATTTTAATCTGATATATATATTTTATTTAAAAAAAAATAATGCTATTTATTTACTGTTTGATAAAGGTTGTGCTAATTGTTTGAGAAATAAAGTACAAATAATAAGAAATTTTGTGATTGGATAGAACTCTTGTTCAAAAATATAGCAATTGAAAAAATAAACATATTAATGTATTATTATTATTATTATTATGTTAATATATGTGCGGAAGGTTGACAACCATTACGTATCCTGTTTTGCAGGACGGTATAAGCGAAGAGAACAAGGAGCTTCTGTACCATTTCCGAGGAGAAACAGAGTAAATTAAGTCAAGTATTCTAATAACACGAACGACACACGAATACGTGGCAAATGAAATTATCAACTCATTCAGAATGAACTTGAAAAGCAGCGCATTGTTAAGTACACAGAAAAAGAAGTGGAGAATTTCGTTTTCACGTTAATACTTTCTCACCCTCTTTATGTCCCTCTATCTATCTCTTATCTATCTAACTATTGCTGCCTTTTTTTTTGCTTTAACTATTGTGGTATTTCTGGACGAACATTTGCTTTAAAACGTACAACGTAAGGCAAAAATGTATCCTGAAAAATAACCACGTACTAAAATACAAGGCTAGAAGTGTGGGCTTTGCACTTTTCTGTATAATTTATTGTTAAAATATGGGTTCAACTCCTTGTATTCCTGCATATTGTATTTTTTCATTTCGGTAATAAAACGTTATTTTCCTTCTGAGACCCAAGCTGGGGAGAGTAACTCTTTGCCAGTAAGATAGCCTGATCAGATTTAGATTTTGTTTATTCCAATAAATGTGTGTAATCTTCAATTGTCAAATTTTTCCGCAAATGGGAATAACCTGGATTACGTTGACAAGCATTCTGAGCCCCTCAGGTATTTGAATTCAACGAGTAATAATATTTAATAGAATATTTTACTTGTAAAACTTAAGTTGTTGAGAGTACATTATTCCAGTGATTGTTGGAAAGTGTTAATTGGTTATGAAATAAAGTTTACTTTAAAAAGAAAAAGACAGCTATTATTGGCTAAAGAAACTCGTTGATGTTTAGTATATAAAGGCATGCAAAAATTTGTTTTTGTTTAGGTTTGTGGCCGTTTATGGCTTTGGAACATTGGAAAAAGTATAAGGGAGAATTTTGCTTTTAAATTCTCTGAACATTCTGAGTTTCTCTGTTTATTGCAATTCAAAAATGGTCGAAGAACAACAAGAAACGGATTGTGAAGTTAGTATCTTAAACGAACATGATCTTACAGATGTTTTCGGGAGAAAGCGACCTGCACAAATTGCTAACAGGGACCTGAGGAAAGTGTCACGTATCCAAATTACTGCGAATACTCCAATCCTTACAAGCAATCAATTTCAAATATTTCCGACACGAAAACGTCAAATAAAAATAGTACCGAAACAAAAGATACGAAATCTCAACAGATTCACATTAAAAACGTAGTGAATACTCATTCGCTAACAGAAATTTCAGAAAAGGCAAAAGCATAGGAGGCGTCAATTCCTTCATCATAAAAAACACTAAAAATTCTTGAAAACTACTCGCAAACAAACAATGAAGCATTGTGTCGATAGTATTTCATATGAAGGACAATTTAAAAATTTAAAGGTGTCACTGCAAGACGAAGATGCTTCGCAATATCTCGATTCTAGACGTTATTTAATTTTGAATCAATTTTACTCAGAAGAACAATCACATGGATCAGCGAAACCTGTAGAAAATAAGGACAAAACTCCCGATGAATTGGAAAGCAATGGTAAATTAATAAGATTAGTCAATGTCCTAAAAGAAAAGTTAAATTATAGAGAAGCCAATCTGGCTGATATAGAATAAAAACTTCTCGAAAAATTTCGGGGGAACCAAAATGCAAATCAAAGGATTGAAAATGTTTAAAAAGAATATGAAAAATATAACACAATAAATAAGAAAATAAGGATCTTAACTTAAGCCTTTTTTTACAAGGAAATGTACAAAAGTGGTACAGCTTCAATTGAAACAAACAAATTTAGAGGATTCTTGCAATTTTAGGTGCATAAATAGTTTAATAATTGATTATGGTTTAAAAAAAGAGATTGCTATTGAAAGCGCAAAGCTAAAAAATTTTATTATTAGAATTTTTTTAAATTAACTGCTTTTTTCAAACGAAATTTATGATACATATTTTTGTATCATAAAGAGCGTTCAAATGTTTGAAACACATTACGGGCCAACCTTATGGGACAGTTATGAAATAAGTAGAAATAACCAGGGGCTTCTCTTAATCTCAAAAAGAATCAAATTATGTTTATTTATTCTATTATTTCAATCAACCAACACATGTATGCGTCAAAAATAATTACATATTCAGGATGAAATTGTATTTTATTACCATTGAAACAGAACAAAGACAGATTGTGCCGCTGTTAACCAACTAACACGAGGCAACAAGTTATTTCCAACTTGACGGATTGCTGGTTAGCGATACGATGATACGATCCTGAAATAGAGCAGTATGTTGTACTAACACACATCGGGTAAAGTCTATAAAACAATGCAAAAGTACAGACATATTGAGCATTATTCACAGTATGACATTAGTCAGAGTTTATGTATATGTTTTTAAATTCATATATACTAAATGTTTGAACATATTTTTTAAGTCTTCATTCAAGAACTTTCTTCAAAATAATGTTCAACTTTTCAAAGCACGGTTTAGAGTCACCCAGACCTAGGCGGCAACGCTGACATAAAGCTCTTCTCTGTCTGACAGAGGCACTTCGACTATAACTTGATGATTTATTTACCTTTTTATTTATTTATCTGACAATTTACTTTTTTAATTAACTGTATATTTGTTGTACTAATAGGTTAAAACATAAAATAAAACCATTTACTGTCTTGCTACATAGTTACATTCTATCGTATTGATATTGTTTGATGGCTCGATTATCAGAAATCAAAATATCACATTAATTTGGTAATTGATTACTTTATGTTGAAAAAACAA